ATCTGTTCCATACTAATACAATCTGTCGACTTATATGTATAATTTATATGTAGTTAACAAGCATTATTCATTTTATTAATTCAGTTATTCATTTTACAATCAAAATGAAATGTTGAAATCACAAAATTCTGTTTTTATTATTGGTTGGATGTGAAACCAGTTTCCTGAATGATTAGTCATAATAATCAAATGTTTTTTAGCAACTGAAATTTATCAATAGAAAATATAAAACAACAGCTGCAACTAAGTTTTTTTTTTCTCTGAATAAACAATATACCTGAGTAGCCTTCTGACTGCCACCATAATTTTTTATTTTTTATTATTGGTTTGATGTAAATTCGGTTTCCTGAATAATAAGTCATAATGTCAAATGTTCTGTGGCAACCAAAATTTATAAATAAATAAGAAATAACAACTGCAACTGAGAGGTTATTCTTTTCTCTGAATTTTACAGAGCTGCATTAATTCTAAGTAATATGTATTACATTTGTAAAAGCCTTTTCTTTCAGGTACACAGCGTTTCAGTCTACTTTGAAAAGTAGGAATTTTCTGTTTCCAGGCATCCAAGATCATCCTTGTTTTGTTCAAAATAGAGCTGTGGCATCTCAGAGTGACATAGTCTGAGAGGTAGGGGTAAATCTACAGGGGGCAACTGCTTAAGATAACCAAACTACTAATAAACAAGCTGGAAATATAAATATTCTTGAACAGCGTATTGTAAACCTTAGCAACGCATAGCAATAGCAACATAAAAGCACAGTGTTTGTTAGCAGGTAAATGTGCTGGTAAGCAAACCTATATTAGATATTGGCAGTGGTTAGTGTGGTCATGCAAATTTAAACTCTTCCTAGTAAGACAGTAAGGATTAGATGGCAGCACTTAGAGCCATCAGGACCCAGAAGATCATTGGCCACCTCAAAGAGTAAATTACTTCCCCACAGGCATCTACAGATCTAACATCATCCCAGAAGGTGACAGGAAGGCGTGATAGAGCATAGTAAATACCCAACAGCTCAGTGGTCCTATAGCTTCCCCCACCGGGCACCACAAGAGACATGGTAGACTGGTTTGGCAAACATCAAGTACCTTGCAGAGTGTAGATCTGGCCCAATGTTCCTCAGCCGGGACAAAAACCACACTGCTCCTCTTGAAGCTGAGGTTTGACAATCAACCAGACACTCCTCTCCAGCACCCTGGCATAGGCTTTCCCAGGAAGGCTGAGAAGAAAGATACATCGATAGTTGGAGCACATCTTCCGGTTCCCCTTCCAATGCAAGGGAACGATCACCCCAATCTGCCAATCCAGGGGCACCGTTCACCAACCTCCACATGATGTTAAAGGAGCATGTCAGCCACGACAGCCGGACAACATCCAGAGCTCTAAGGTACTTGAGGTAGATCTCATTCACCCCTGAAGCCTTGCCACCATGGAGTTTTTTATTGCCTTGTTGACTTCTGCCTGTGTAATAAAAAGATACATCCCTGAGCATTGCCTTCCACGATGTAGGGCATCTTAGCGAGATTGAGGAGATCCTCGGAGTGTACGTCTAATGTCCAAATACCTTTTTCAAGGTCAGCAGCTCCCCACTCCTATTGAAAAGTGTAAGCTAAGCACTGCTTCCCCATCTGAAGATGGATTACCAGAATGACCTCGAGGCCACGTGATAGTCTTTCTCCACAATCCCCAACCCCACAACCTGGTATGGGGATTGCAGCTACAAAAGGCATAGAAGACCTTATGGCCACAGTTACGGGCAGCCTCATCGACAATGGAGGCAATGAATATGGTCCACTTACACCTCATGTTTCCAGCTTTCCATGGAATCTGGGAGAAGCTCTTGCGGAGGTGAAAGTTGAACATGTTCCTGACCAAGGGCTCCACTGGAGGAGCAAAGACTGTCTGGCTTCCTCTTCTTCCAGCGTATGGAGCTCACCAGGAGGTGATTGTGAATATAAAACTGAAATAAGAAACAAAGTTTTGAAATTATAACAGCTAACAAAAATCCTAGTCCAAGTAGACCTACCAGGACTTATCAATTCTTAAAAAAAAAATTAAGAATGAAGGTTTAAGCAGATAAAGGGTGTTCCAAAAAAGCAGAGCAGAAATACAACAATGAAGAAACAAACAGGACAGGCAATGGGAGGCCCAGACAGAGGTATATGGAAAAGAGTTCAGGCCAGTGACATGGAATCGATCACAATGAGGCCATAAATTATGTTAAAGCCTGGCTTACACTGTGTGATTTTTTTGCTCTTTTCAGTCCAACTTTCCAGTCGTGCCAGAATTTTTTGTTGTTAACAGTTTTTTATTGAGGAATCATACATGAAAATTGAAACATCAACAATACACATCTGTCCTCTTTTTTATATGAACAAAAAACATAAAGACAATACAAAATCAAGAACATTTGTGAATATTTTCTAGTGCAGCCTTCCAGAGTTCGTCCCTTATCTCCATTCCTAATTCCTGCTCCCAGCCTGTTCTAAGGCCCTGCATGGACGGCAAGGAACTGGATAGTAACAGATTATAAATCTGGGATATTAGATGTCGTTCTCCACCACCCAGCTTAAAGAGTTCGTCAAATTCGTTAGGTAATATTCTCTAGAGTGCGCATGTGTTTTTTGACATATGCCCTGACCTGCAGGTATCTAAAATGATTGTGTTTATGGAGACCAAATTTGCCTTGAAGTTGAGAGAAAGATGCAAAATTACCACCAACCAGCAAGTCACCAATAGTCCTGATACCTAAATCTTTCCATTGTGTATAACCTGAGTCTAAAGTGGAGGGGACAAATGAGGGATTCTTTGCTATTGGTAATAAGGTAGATGTAGATTCGATACCCAACTGGGATTTTATCTGTTTCCAAATACGTATAGTGCTGTGGATGATGCAATTATTCTTGTATGCCAATGTGTCTATGTTTGTGGGTGACAGAACAAGAGCACCAATTTCATGAGGGCTGCAGTCTTCTTTTTCCATTGTGATCCAGTTGGATTGTGTACAATTGCGGACTAACCAAATTCTAATGATGCGAAGCGTACAAGAGTAATAGTAAAATAAAAAATTTGGGAGGGCCAGTCCACCCTCCACTTTAGCCTTGCAAAGGTGAGCTTTGCTAATTCTGTGCGTTTTATAGTCCCACAAAAATGGAACAATTATAGAATCGAGTTTCTTAAAAAATTTCTTAGGTAAAAAGATGGGGATATTTTGAAACAGATAAAGTATCTGAGGGAGAAAAAACATTTTTATTGCATTGATTCTTCCCATCAGGGAAATAGGAAGAGATTTCCAAAATTAAATGTTATTTTGTAGCTTCACCACAAGAGGGGGGAAATTAGCTTCGTTGAGTAAATTAAAGTCCCTTGTAATCTCTATTCCAAGATAAGTGAACTTATCCTTAGCAATTTTAAATGGCATACTTTCCAAGATCGAAGAGTCTTTGAGCTTAACTGGCAACAATTCACTCTTAGACCAGTTGATCCTATAACCCGAAAATCTGCCAAACTGAGAAATTGTGTCTAGGAGCGTTGGTATAGTACACTGAAGATTGGTTATGAACAGTAGGATGTGCCAGAATTTTTTGATCAGGTTGACTTTCAGCCTGATTGTGTGTCCTGCGCCGTGTAGTATACAGGGGGGTAACGAGGGGCGATCAGCCTCTCACGACCACCTCCCGATCAGCAATCATAAGGTCAGGAGAAATTCAACCATGTTTGATTTTCAGTCAGCCGTTGTGGTAAATCGCTCAGAGGGCATGCACAAACAAGGATTTTTCTTCTTCTTCTTACTCTCAGATCAAAACACAGAGCCATTGCAGGGGTGCAAGTGAAATGGAGTTATTTCTGTAAAACTGACAGACTGTAGTAGCCACACTTGCTCATGTCTTGTTGAACTGTTGAAAACTAATCAAGTCACAAATGGAGAGTCTACATTACCCAAATAACATCATACTTACACTACATGGTGAATCTTCAAAATAGAGTTCAACTCAATGTTTCTGCTGCATTTTGCACCATATTTATTGATTTATTTTTGCACTGCTCTGAACCTTCCACATCCAATGCCTTTAGTGGCTATGTGGCTATGTCTCTCCTCCACTGTTTACACTTTGATCACTGCTATACGTGTAAGTCTATGTCTAAGTCATAACACATCATCTTAAAGCATATTACATAGACAATTCCAAAAGGTCATATAGTCAGATTAGTTCAAAGTTTTTTCCACTAAGGAAAACCTGCTGATACCATCGACTTAGTGACTCAACAGCATCCCTCAAATCGAACATGTGTGTAGCGACAGTGTAGAGGAAGAACATCATGAAAAAAGCAGAAAGAGGTTCAGTGTGCATTGCCCTCTGCCTAGGCTGGCTGGGGTTCAAGGAGACAAGCAGACATACAAAAAGCAGGTACACAAAGGTTACTGTAACTGTTAAGTACCTCCACAGATGGCAGTCCAGGGAAATACACAACCAAGCAGACAAGCTCTGAGCTAGTTCCCATGTCAGACGATGAAAGAGAGAACATATTCAGTCACAGTAAAAGACACAGGATAAGAGTAAAAGCAAGCACAACTAAAACATCCATAAACAAAGTTGCTGGAGGCAGAAGCCTTTCTGATATTTATATCTGGGATGGTGTCACAGCCAAACAGGAACAGTCCAGATGAAGCTACTGTATTACTATGAGAAAAAGCAAAGAGACCATAACATCCTCTGACAAACAATCAAACTGTACTGTGTAAGATTTTTTGGACTGGTTGCATATTACTATGAAGTAGCAACCCCCCAAGATGCATATTTTTTATTTAGGATATGTCATCATAATACAAAAACCGGGGGTGGGGGTGGGGGGTGGGGGGGTTGTAGCAGACTCCCCTATGTGGCTATCTTACGTGCTCGTTCCCTCGCAGCTTTTTATAACACGTAGTGTGTGTTGATGATGATCGAAGCTATGAATCATAAAATCCTTTTATGAATTGCTGCTTCCTGTTGATTTCATTCCAACTCAACATAGAACTAAGTCATAACATTTCTATAATTTTCAAAGACAACTGTGTGGGAAACTTGACATTAACAGCTGCATTTGGTGAGTACATGTCTTTATCTTGTAAATGAATAAGTGTTGAGTTTTGTGTTATGAAAACGTAATATATGCGTTTTAGACTAAAAACTCCCCTTTAGATAATCTTGTTCAATTTCTTTTATTAAACTCAGTCAACATAAAGAAAAATACAAAGTCAGTCAGGTTTCCAATTGTAGCTGGAAATGTATTAAGATGAATAGAATACAATGAGTACATTTGTTTAATTTTTAGGAATAACGCCCAAGCAAAATATTTTAGTCAGTATGAACAATGTTCTCTAAAAAAATCCCTTTGGCAATATATTATACAATGTTATATTTTATATTTTGACATATTCTATTTTACTACTTTCAGAAGCAAGATGGAGTCAGTGGTGAGAAGTGAGGTTATTCTCTCATTTTACATAATTTCCTTTGTGATGGGCCTTCCTGCCAATCTAGTGGCACTCTGTGCTTTTAGCATCAAAGTCCACAGAAGTCGGCTTCCATCAGACATCCTGCTACTGAATCTGACTGTGTCTGACCTGCTCTTCTTAATCACGCTTCCTCTTAAAATGCATGAGGCAGCATCAGGGATGAAGCGGACTCTGCCCAGCTTCTTGTGCTCCATAAACTCCTTTATATTCTTCTCTACGATCTACACCAGCTCCTTGCTGCTGATGGCAATCAGTGTGGTTCGCTACATAGCTGTTGCCTATCCTATGACCTATCAACAACTGCAAAAAACATTGTACCCGATCATTATCAGTGCTGTTACTTGGCTGATCTCAGCTGCACACTGCAGCATTACTTTCATTGTCCAGCACCACCCATCCTTGTCAAACTCAAATTCTTCTGTATGCTATGAGAATTTCACAGAGAAGCAGCTGGAGGTTCTCCTTCCACTTCATTTGGAGTTTTTCTTTGTGCTGTGCCTTGTACCTCTTGTAATCTCCATTTATTGCTATCTGCGATTGATTTTGATTCTATACAGCCGTCCCACGATATCCTGGATGCAAAAGAGGAAGGCTATTGGGATGGCTTTGGGAACTCTTGCTGTGTTTCTCATTTGTGTTCTCCCATTCAATTTATCTCATGTACTGGGTTTCTTTCAGGGTCAAAGCCCTAAATGGAGGTACTACACATTGCTTCTCAGCACATTAAACACATGTATTGATCCCATCATATTCTATTTTTCATCCTCTATCTTTCACCTCACAAGCAAAAAATCAATTTTCAGAAATCTTTTTTCATTAAGGTGAAAAAAACAATAATTCAGAATTATAATTCAAAGGCGATGTTCATTCTCTCCCCACATGATGTGCTTTAATTGTCAACGGGAAGCTGTTGACAATTAACTACATTTTAAGAATACACTTGTAAAAACAACAATTATTAACAACTGTGATTAACCTGAAGTATATAGAGCAAATATATAGAGAGGAAAATTATAAATGTGTATCTTTGGTAGTGGCCCGCAACTGGTTTGATATAATATCATTTATATTTTTTGTTGAATTACACTTTAATAAAGACTTTCTCATGTGACTTTTTCATAGTCACACGGCTTCATAGTGAAGAAGGTACCTTGCTCTTTAATGGCTGTAGTAATTAATAATCTCACAATCATTTGTGGCTTGTAATGGAATTAATTTTGTGTTAACTTAGTTTGGCATCTGTTAGTTAAATATATTTTTCTTTTGTTTTGCTTTGCTCTCTAACAAAAAAATTTACCATTGCAATGTCCTTCATACAGACAATGGTGTAGATCATGAAGGACACCCATAGGACTTGAATCTGTATTGTTATTATAAACAATTCATCTAATAAAGTCAGCTTTATTTAATCAGAAACCTGCTCAAATGTAATACTTGATGGTATGTGGAACGTAGAAAGCACATTTACAGATTCTAATTATCTGAAGCCTCTGACAGATAGGACCCTGCAGATAAATACAAAGTAATAATAAGGTAAAATCCTAGCATATAAGCTAATCAGACATCAGTTAAACCATACATGTTTCTAAAAGGATATTAACAAGCCAGCTACTGAAACCTGGCTACCAGTAAGCCAAGTGGTTGTGGGATGTGACTCTTACTTCTGAACTTCTTTGCCACCCTGCTTTGTTTTGTTGACTCACTTGGTTTCCATTGCTTCTCCTATAGACATGAATTATTTCTCATCGTGTGCTTATTTTGCAAATACACAGTATTGTATCGCCGGTCACATTACATTGTTATGGAAATGTGCAAAAAAAGTACAAATTTTTACTAATAAAGAGAGCTAAAATAAAGTACTAAGCACATAAATAATAAGAAAACAGAAGACATTTGTAACCAAAGTCAACTAAATAGTACATGACTACGAGGACCCATTGAATCTGAGCTCAATGAGGGGAGAGGCAGATTGTAGAAGAAAAAAATTAAACAGAGACAATTAAAATACACTGGAACATTTTAGGCAAATATTTTTTTTATTACTTAGATTTACTTGATAGTTTGAATAATAAGCTACTTGTTTAAATTAGGTTTAAAAAAAAACAAACGTGTCTTCTGCTGTTGACTCCAGCCTACATTGTTTTATAGACTGTAAAATCCTCTATTCATCAAAGGTTGATAAAAGTTTATTTTTAAACCCTTGGAACTAAAGGGTAAGAATTTAACATTTTGTGTTTACCATGATTAAAACTATAAAAAAAAAAATAGAGCCTGAAATTAATTACTTTCATTCCAGTAAGCAAATTTGCCCTCAATATATTATCTTTTTATTAAAGAATTCAGGCATTGCTTTGTGGTGCATTATACTGATATGAGTGATATGGTGTAAGAGTCTTTGCATTTTACAATGTTTGGGCATCAAGAATGAGCAATTAATTTCCTACATTCTAATGAAATAGCTATGACTCGTCTTTAAATAATCTTTGCTTTGTTTCGTTATTCTTCCTAAGAATCATATTTGAGTTGCTGGTAAGAAGTGATGTTATTTTTAGTATGCATAATTTGCTTGCTGATTAATTTAGTGCCAAGATCACCTTTAAACCTCTTCTGTATTCTACTTCTGCTGGATTTGATCCTGTCTAATCTATTCTTCTTGATCCTTTTTCTTCTTTATATGGACAGGAGAGTTGGCATGACTTTAGGAACTTGTGCCGTGTTCTTCCTTTGTGCTCTGCCCAAAAGCTTGTCCTAATTAATTGGGATTCTTGTGGATGGAGGATCTACCCTCTGCTTCTTAGACTATAAAATGCCTGCCTTTCATCTTCTATTGTAAAAGTCTCTGTAAGCTTTTATTAATCTTAATTTAACTAAAGAGTAAAACAAAACCTTACCAATGTAAGCCAAAAGATGAGTATTGGAGCTCTTATTTACCTGGATATTTAAAAATATACTTTTTTTCATCTCAAACTCTTGTTGATTCATGTTTAAAAAAAACACATCATATTTCCGGTAAATACTTCAACATTTTATTAGTGTTCAAAGGTTGTCCATTTTTATGTCAGTGTTTTGTTTTCTCGCTTTGACATGTGATTTCTTGTTTGCATTAACGCGGGCCTGCCACTCTTCTGCACTCATGCATTCTGTAGGCACACATGTAGAATATACCTGTAAAAAAAAACATTAAACATCAACTGTAAAAACAGAATCAATTATTTTACTGAGACAGTTGCTCAACACACATGCAAGCAAAGAAAACGTTTCTGTTAAAAACAGCATAAAACAAGTGTCAAATTCACTGTGTGTATGTACGTGCTTTATATCTGTCAGGTGGGAGAGCTCTGTATTCAAGCCTTCACTAGGTGCTACGGTGATCAGATGTCATAATTTGTGTGGGACAGTTGAACTACGGTAACTGAAGAGGCCAGCTACAGGTGTCTTTCAGACATTTTTAAATTTTGGCACGAAGGGGATGCTATGTAAAGCGATGCTGTAAAAGTGACTCTCAAAAGAAACGTAGAGCTGTAAAAGCCAGTGCTGTACTGCATTGTCCCTCATAAACATTCTAGTTGTCGCACATTTGTTTTGGGTATTTGTTTAGATATGTTCACCCTACAAAGACCACCTGAGCCTAGTCATATCATACTATAAAGACACAGCTGCTACAGCTTCAGTGCCTGCTTGTTGACTAAACTAGTAGAGATAACAGATTTTTGGGTGTGGTGTGGCTAGGTTTACTTTTAGTTTGATTAGATATGTAATTTTTTATTTCTCCAGTCTTTATTGCATGAAGGATAAATAAACATGCATAACCCACACACCTATATTTCATTACCACACTAGTTGAGCTTTGAATAAAAAACTATGCAAATGTCTGTGTGAAGTTATCTCTTTGGGAACCCTGTTGTCTCATTTTTTATAAAATATCCCTTAACCGCATTAAGTTCTACAAGCAGAGCAGTGATATTTATTTTCTTTTTTTCTTTTTTTTTTTTGGCTTGGTCTATTTACTTTTGGTTGTATTTTTTTCTGTCGGATCTGTTTGTATCAATAAACATTCATGTTTACATAAATATGTGCACCTCACAAACATGATAATTAATAATTTCTACATTCTTTATCTCTTTGGTTCATTCAGTTTAGCTTAAGCTAAGTTATGTTTTTGTAAAATCAGTTAAATAAAAAAAAATGTGTTTCTTATTTTCTTAAAATTCAGGTGTAACAGAAATAAGGTCTCTTGCTGTTTTTCTGAAGTAGGAACTCACTGGAAATTCTGTAAAGTTTGGTTTGTGTATAATTGATTCAATAGTATTATATGTATTATTGATTATGATACATGAAACTGGAGAATGTAAAGTGTAAACTGTGTTTATAAAAATGGCCTTGTCAATTTGAATGAAAACATAAACTTGTTACTAATAGGATAATATTGTTGTCTGTGTGAAATACTGACTACGGTTTTGAAAGCTACACATTTATCTTTTTTATTATTATAATCACTAAGATGTTTCATCAAATATTGTCAACTTGAAAGAGTTAACAAACCTGCAAAGAAGGTCATGAGCAGTGCCACCCAGCCTAGTATATAGGACCAAGAGAAACGCCAGTCACCAAAACGCTTTCCAAGGAAGTTCACTGTCACCCCCGTGTAAATGGCCATTGCAAGCAGAACAAAGAGAGCTGTTGTGAAGACAAAGAGTGACTCATCATAACAGGCTTATCAAAAATGATTATGGTGTCTTCATTTGGATGTTACCTAGCAACTGTTGGTCAAAGCAGTAAATTTGGTTGCTGTATTTTGAATTCTAACTAAATCCTCTCATAAAGGCAGTGTTATACCATATTCTGTGATGGCTTATTGTGTTGATGACTTACTGGAGACGAAGAACATGATTCCTGCAGCAAATGAGCGGTTGAACCTCTCAAATGCAGAGAAGTGAGCAAAGGACAGGATTCCTGCGATGATGCCAGCAAAGCAGGTCATGGCGGACAGGATCATGAAAGCTCGAGTGGCATTCCAGTAGGCTAAGGCGAAAAAGGACAAGCTTAAGAAAGGATCTGTATAAGTTGCATATAAAAAGTATCCATGTTTGATTAACCAGATGGTTCCTTCTATAAATGTTGTGATCTAACAACACCCTATGTGTTTATATGGGGAAATTCAAAACTATTGTTTAAATAAATAATACATTTCGTGCATTTTTTCATTCTGGTGGAAAAACTGTGGGTGCATTTCAAACTGTCACCTAAATCATTTTAGAAATGTTAAATTTAATACTTTTCTTCTTTGGAATATCTACACTTTAGAAGGGAATAGTTATTTATTTATAGTCAGGGTCATAAAATAATTTACATTATTGTTAATGAAGCAGATTGTACAGAGCATACAAATCGACTAAAATTCAAAGATTTGGTTGACTTTAAAACTGCTCAATTCATGTACAGAATAAAGAATAATTGGTTTTTAGTTCATATTCAGGGTCTGTTTTTGATCAGGGACAGTGCTTATGATCTTAGAGGGTATAAAATATTCAGAAAACCAAAAGTTAGAATGTAAAACAATGTTGTATTTCTTTTGTTGGGAGAGATTAATAAGGTTTAAAAACATTCTAAGAATAATATGATTAAACATTATCCACTATGTGAATGTAATTAATAGCAGTAACATATTGACGTACTACCTTTTTTCAAAATGCTATCGTAGAATAATTGTTTCCTTACTATCATATTTTGGTATGTATTATAAAATGTAGCCATTTTTTTTTATAACCTGGTTTTGGAGGGCGGGCATTATAAGCTTATTGCTTCTGCCAATACAGCGTTTTCAGACTTTTTTTAAAACTTATGTAACAAGGACTAGGGATGCATGATATAATCAGTATTAGTATCGGCCTGTATCGGCCTTAAAACTGAATATAAGACATCGGCCACCCCACCAATATTTAACCCGATATTTGATCAGCTTCTGAGTTTCTAAG